ATAGCACCTAGAACAAGCTAAGGCTCAATAAATAAGCGTGTATCATCATTTTAAAGTTTTAATTGAAAAATTGAGCCTAATTAAAAAATTCTTTTTATAGTTTTAAAATTATTAAGGGAACAACAATCGAGGATCCTGTCGATGAGAAAAATATCGATGAAGAAGCATCGATGGAAGAATCTTCTGACGATTCAAAAGATTCAAGTGGATGGGCGAAATGGGCAAACTCCATTCTTGCATCGGCAGAAGCAAGTGCAACAAAAGCTACAACAGGCTCTGTGGTAAATGCGTTCTATAATCCACAAGTTGCAGTCAAATTACAAAATTTAATATCCTATTTACCTTTGTGGACAGCCATCATGCGTCGTTATTTTCACTGCGGCAAAGAAACAGCCACATCCTCAGCTCGAAGCAGCATTTGCAGATTTAAAATGCAGAGCGTTTAAAGGCGAATTACCAATGCAAATCGATAAATTTGTCATTAGACACATCGATTGGTTAAAAGGTAAAGTGTTGTTATCGTTTGCTGACACGGCATGTAAAGATACTATAGAAAAAATAGGTAGTAACAATAATGATAAAGATAATATGGATTGTAGTAATGATAATGAAAAGGATACGTGGACTGCGGTGGAAAATTGGCGTGGATTAACTACAAAGTCATTGAGCAGCGATAAAGGTAATGTAAATAAAAAACAAACAGATGTGACAAGTAAAAAAAATAAATTAAGTTACCTCGATGATTGTCCAGATTGGGATCACATGACAACTATGAAACGAGTTACCATACCTCTTTTGAAAAATGGCAATTTGTTGAAAGGATCCCATTGCGGTAATAACTGTAAGAATATAGGTAATATATATATATATATAGTGAGACCATTCGCGACAAGCGTCGGTAGGCCACACGTGTATTAGGCGATTAATGCCATCTATTAGAAAGAAGAGACAAATAGGGAAAAATCGGAGCCGTTAATTCGGAGCTACGATATAAGAGAGAACGACGAAGACGAACAGTTGAGAGAGGATCCTTACGGCCGTGCGAGCGTGTCTGGTCCGGAGTTTTTCTAATAAAAAAGTGTTAAAAGAACAATTGAAAATAGAAGGTGCGAGCGTGCACTTAGTGTTTAACAAAGGTGAGCGTACCTTTAATAAGAAACTCTTTATTAACTTTTGGAAAAAGGGAACGTGGCATATCGCGACCCCCTCTTTTCCTCCTGTATTAATTTGTGTATTAAATATAGTACCAGTGTTGTTTTACAAGACAATTTATTATTTAAAAAAGAACCTCTCGTTCATCCTAAACCTTACAGTTAACGCGTCAGAAGTGGGATTAACGAAAATTCGGTAATTTCGGTGAACTCCGAAAGAAGTTGACTGTACACGTGCTTTAAGAGAAGTGAAGCCGAATGGTATACGCGGCTGTTTTCCGTATAAAAGGAGAGCTGCGAAAGAGAACAATTAATTACAAAAGTGAAAGAAACAATAATTCCAGTGGTAACGTGACAAGTGTGAGCCGGATAGCCGAATATAGAAGGTTCGAGAAACCGGAAGTCGGGATACCGCCATTTGCAGAACGAAAGTTCTAGAAAGTGCGAGAAACCGGAAACGAAATCCAAGCTGGATCACTCTGGCGGATCTTCCAATTATTAGATTTCGCCGATAGGGAAGGATAACTGAGTGTCCTGTGATATCGACTAAGGCGCTACCGATCATTGTCTTGGATCGTTGTCGTTATCGATACGTGAGCATTCGCTATGAGTCGCGTGCAATTAGAGCAGCTGAATGTGGATGGGCTCCGAGAGCTGGCGCGACAGCACAATTTGGACATCCGAGGTTCGCGCGCCGCACTCTGTGATCGCCTGATAGATAATTTCGAAAGAAACGGGTGGCCAGAGCAAATAATGCTTGCCGGTCCGATTTATGATAGTCGAAATGCAGAAGATGAAGGGCATCCCTCCTCTCTCGAAATAACAAGTGGAGTAGCAAGTGCTCCAGAAAATGTCGACGCAAATTTGAATAATGTTCGACGCAATGAAGAGGGAAATGCGGTGCCGGGAAATCAGACTAACTTGAATGTACAGGAAATTGTGCAGGCAGTGTTGCAGGCCCTTGAAGCTAATCGTTCAGGACCTTCGCAGACAAATAATGAGTCTCCCCGAGCGCGATCAAGAACGTCAGCCCAGTCGGTTGCCGGGTCATCAAGTAATGCATTTCACAATTGGAATCAAATTAAATTTACGGCAAAATTGATCCCCACTTTCGCTGGAAAGGAAGAAGAAAATGTTGTTACGTGGATTGACCGAATTGTTAGTGTTTCAAGGATGTACCAAATATCGGATGAAGTCCTGGTGCTAGCGGCGGTAAATCAGCTGAGTGGCCGTGCCTTAGATTGGTACAACCGCCAACCGGTGGATTCGGTTGCTACCTGGGAAGAATTTAGATATCAATTGCGATCCTATTTTGAACGAAAGGAAACAATTACAATGACCCTAGCCAGGATCAACAGTCGTGTTTGGAAATCGCACTCGGAAAAGTTTATCAATTACGTTGAGGATAAACTGAAATTAATGCAATTCTTAAAACTTTCAGAAAAGGAAAAAATCGAACTACTAGCCGATGGAGTTAGAGATCCTTTTCTCAGAAGATTTGCATTGGACGCGAGAGCGACGAGTGTACCTGAATTCATCGAGCATATTCGGAGAATCACGGAAGACAATGTGATGGTTCGTAGGCCAGGGACAGACTCTAAATTGCCTTCAAAGCCGACGACCTCTTTTCAGGAAAAAGTGTGTACATATTGCAAAAAAGTGGGACATGTGTTGAAAGACTGCCGACTGGCTAACGGTACTTGCTTTAGTTGTGGCCAGCAAGGACATCTTAGTTCAGCCTGCCCGAAAAGAAAACTAGCATCTGGATCTACATTGAATCATCTTGTACAAGATACATCGGAGGAGACCGAGGAGGAAGCAGAAGCGCCATTTCATCGGGAATTGCCGCACACAGCGTATGCGTGATCGAACACGAGACACCCTATATATCGGTCTGCAGTCTAGGTAACAAAAATAAATTTTTCGGTGCACTGGTAGATACGGGTAGCCCTGTAAATCTAAATTCGAAAATCAATTTTCACCAAATATTTTATTGATAACAAATTGCTTCAAGTTGGGAGAAATTTAAATTTGAAAGGCATTAATAATTCAGTCATTAAAGTTTACGGTAAGATATGCGATCAGATCTGTCTTGAGAAATTAAAGAATCAATGGTTTGATATTATTTTTATGTAGTAGATGATAATACTATATATATATATATATATATATATATTGTCTT